TTTCCAGATGTTTAGGTTTTATTATGAGAGTAGGTATAGTGTATACTATGTATAATCTGTTATATAGTGCGCACTGAAGCCGGTCATTACGTCGCGGCAGGTCTCCGATATATTTTATTTTATACGAAGACGATTCATCCAGGCCGACATGCTGCGTCGGACAAGAGATTATTTCATAGTTTTATGCCTTTATGGTATACATTTTGAATTATATTTGTCATTTGTACGGATTATCGGATTTCACGTTTCGTCGTCATAAACGCTGTTGGCGCCAGTTTAGCGTCGTTTTTGTTGTCTCGTGCTGCTCTTTTTTTCTCCAAATGTTTAATGTGTGTAGAACTGAGGACACTATTGGCTCCGTATAATTTTACAATAAAGCAAGTTAATATACCTACTATTGTAAGTGAAGTGTCTTAAAATCATATTATGTATATACAAAGGAACAACAGTATACATTCATACGAACACGTTGCTTTGAAGTTTGAACTCATTAGCGATTATACTTTCCAAGAACTGATTTTTTGGTGTACGAGTAAACAATTTTAAATTGATTAATTTAATTATTTTGTTTGCTTTTGTATTTCAACTGATGAAATATAAGGTACCTAATGTTTATATATTTTCAATCATTTAATGAAAAGTAAAAGTAAGTACACACATATACTAAAATGTTTTAAATAGTGATATAAAAAGTCACAAGGATTTAGGAATTTAATTTGATACTTTGGAACAATTATGGCTATGTGAATTGTTACATACAAGATACTACATAGGTACACGTACTACATATTGTACGTCAGTATAGGTTTGAGTTAATATAATTCAATTCAAAACACTTGTTGTTAATATTAAAACATGAATATAATTTAATTTACATTTTGAAAGTAGAATATGAAGTTTATTATAAATTTTAAGAAAAATTAAGCAAATTATCTTATCTGAAGGTTAAGACTAGTTGTTGAGTATTTAGGGATAGACTTGAACAAGCGGCGATGCTACTACACGGAGCAATGATTTACAGAAATGTTATAAGTGGTATGCTAGTCTACATATGCCAGATCAAGTCGATTCTATAGGCTTGCTTATCCGTATTTATAAATAATGATATGATCATAGATTTAGGCTTACTTTGATTATGAACAGAGGTCGTCCGTTTATAGAAGTATAGATGTTGATTAAAAAAATGTATCTAATTATGTATATTGCAATGCACTATTTTATAAACTATAGGTAATATAAAAAATATACCTATTACACACTAGCTCACATACATACAATATACGTTTATTTCAATAATAGTTTTACATTAACTAAATTTAATATATTATTTACCACAGAAAAAACCTATATATTGGTATATATATATATATGTATATATATATATATACATATAGCGATGCATGTAGGTTTACTACAATATTATACGGTTGTAGGTAGTATGTTGTTCATACACCGAGCGACACAACGTGTGACAAAGATATAGAGAGATTTCTTTCACGGGTGTGATCGTCAGCAAAACATTAAATGTTTTCATCGGTCAGTTTCAATATTTTGTCATTGTTGAATTGTAGTCAACTTCATAACTATATTTTATTTACATTATTAGTTTTAATTGTTTGTTAAATATAGTGAAACTATATGAATATACAACACCGTAGGCTTTGTAATATGCGTATATATATACAAGAAAATGTGAATTTTTGGGAAATAAACGATGAAATTCCTAAAATTATTCGGGGTTAAACGTGGATATAAATGTTTCAAAGTATTAATCGTTTAATTCCGTCCGGACACATGGTTAATCTAATACTATAAATAATTATTACTACAGCCTGTGGGTCATATTGGAATGTGTTATATTATTACGTTCTTTTCGAGTTCCGACTGAGTTGTAGGGCTGATGAAGACAGAATTACGTCGATACGAATAAAGCGTGGTCGCATCATCATCATTATTCGTACTGGTAGATTCCTACAACACATATATACTAGTCAATTAAAATAGTATGTTTAGTGGTCCAACGTGCACCTGGTTTGCACGTATCGTCGTAACATAATACAGTGATATACATTTTATACGGTCGATCGTTGTTTTATTGATATGTCACTCTATGTTTAAGGTTGGCCAGAGAGAGAGAGAGAGAGAGAGAGAGAGAAGGAAAAAGAAAGAAAATTATATAAAACAAATGCCGTCTTCAAAATGTAAGATAAAATTAAAAGAGAAAAAAAAAGGCACAATAATTATATTATACTTTACAGACTGGAAACAATGGTGCGACGCAGACGTAAAACATCTACAATAATAATAGATGCCATCTGCAATGGTATATAGTAGGCAGGTACCTATATATAGGCAGTACGTGTGTGTATATTTTATTCTTCGCATATTCCGACGCACAACACTGGTGCGGTCACGGGCATAGATACATGATGATATATGATCTCTACCGTCGTAAATGTCAATTACTATAATATTATTATTTTACGTGTGTGTAATAATACGCACATGTAGTTATAACACTGCGGAAAAATTTAAAAGCCACGTATGATCTGCCGCGCGGCAGTCGGCGTACCTGGATCAGGTCGGAACTGAATTATCACAGGTTTTCCAACGCTTTTTAGCCGTTTAAGATTTTTTGAAGACCGGTTATTTTACACAATCAAACGCCGATTTATTGTGTGACTTATGTGTTTTTGAAACCAGTTTTCTATAATTATTGCGCTAGACCGTCAAATTTATCGTATCAATAAAATCGTTATTTATTTGGCTTACGTTCGACATCATATATTATTTATATAAATGTTGTAAATTCGAAAAATAAAACATCGCTGGTCGTCGTAACACAAATAAAGACACGTCTCGACGTTCATAGAATAAATACTTAATTATTGAACATCTGGTTGGGCGTTTTATTATATTGTTCTTGAATATAAACTTAATTTCTCATTGTCTCAATGTTATATTATGTACCTCTTAGCGTTATAATAATATATAGGTACTAAACATAATAATACTCGGTGTATACTGTTATGAAATGTTTAAATAATTCACACGCATTGTGCCACACGTTCAATTCATCCGAAAAATACATTGATTATCTTCGAAGTATAATGTTATATCATTCGAGATTTATAAAAATATTGTTTATACAACTTCCGACTTCAGATTCACTCAATATTACATATTTATATCAACAAATCATCATCGATTCAATAATGCGTGTAATTATTATATTATGATGACTTGTGTTATTGCGACGAATAGTCCAAATGATTTATCACTGTGATAAACGATGATCTGTATAGTTGCAATTGTTATAAACATACTAACTGCTGACAAGAATCGTGAGACGAATGTATTTGTACTGTAAACGGAAATTATAGTTTACAATATTATTATAATACGAGTAAATATAGGCATTAGACGTCATACTGTGTGAAAATCGTAGTGTGAAACATTGAAAACTATCTATATCGGAACGAGCATTATACTGTATTACAAGTAGTCGTATCCTCTGTTTATTATTTATGGTATAAAATATAAATCAGAAGTCACAGTGAATGCGATCATCACGACATTTCGTGTCGTCGTAATTACTATTACTCAGCCAACTGTTAAAAGATTTCGTATTAATTTAGCCATCTGTACAGATTTTCCGTTCACTTTTAAATCGTTCAAACACAGACTCGTATATTGTGTGTAATGACTATGTATAAAGGAAATCGTGTAGGTTAAAAAACCTACATAAAATTCTATAGGTGTTTGTCTTGCGATAATTCCGTTTTTATAGTCTTTACGAAAACGCCACTATAAAATTTATTAGTTTATAACTAAATAAACGTAGATATTATATTATAATTTTTAGACTATATTACTGTGTTATGTTTATAGGATTAGAATAATTTTAGTTCATATTTAATACGAAACGCGCACTTCAATAATTAAACGAATATGATTTAAAAATTCAAGTACTCGTTTAAGTACTTTAAATCATATATTAATAAAAAAACATCTTAACTATAAAATATTAGTTTGGCGTTGTTTGTATTTTTGTGTTATGTAAATGCTATTTGATTATCTAATATATATATAGGTATAAAGTAAATTATAATTTTTTTATCAGTGTTATTTTTATTTTATGTATAATATTATTCAAGATGTTTAAATAAAAAATAGTTTTTTACTTCATACGTTATTATATTATCATCAATATAATAACGTCGCAAAATATTTTTTTTCCTGCAAGTATTAGTATTTTAATGTCCGTGGTCCGAACAGGTGAGGTTTTATACCCACGCCTGTTATTAGGTCCAATTTTGAATTCATTAATAAACAACGCGATGAAAAAAAAAAAAAATTCTGCCTACGTAGCAATTACCGTATGGCGGCCGAGGCTGCGGTGGCGACTGTTTTATGTCGTCCCTGTCACACGCATCTGGACCTTAACGGCAGAGAATTATGAGCCGTCGAAAGGTGAAGGATCTAACTTTAGATTGTAACGGAAAAAAGGGAAACGAAATATATTTACATGAAAATTATATCGCGCTAGTTTTTTTTTTTTTTTATGTAATAATGATAAATTAAATTGTTTGTCGATAGTACACCTATACGTATATAATATTGTAAACCAGTTTCTTTTTTTTTCTTATTGAAAGCGCCCACACGGCGCCTGGTGCGTCGGTTGTAATTCGTGCTGGCGCCTCGAGGAATTTTCCCAATTTCCATTGCGCCACGACCCCGGGAGTCGAAATTTTTGACGGACTATCCGTTTTGTCACAAATCCAATTCCGGGCCCCGGGTTCGAAGTCGCCATTCCAAAACTCGACATGTTTCGCTGATATTTGCAAACATGTGTTCGAGACTCGTATTGCGTCCTTATATGCGTTGCAGCCGTTCCCATACGGTGTCTCGTCGTTTAATCATTAGAAAAAAACATCAACAACAAAGAGGTCAAGACTTTATTTTAATTTTTAACATCTTTTTTTTTTTTTTACCAACAGAGACAACATATACCGTCTAGACTTGGACGATTTAAAAAAGATCGAGGCTGCCCGATGGCCGGCTGCTGAGGAAAAAGTGCAACTGTGTCTGGTAAAAGGTCAGAGTGTTGACGACTGTCACAACTACGTCAAAGTACTTCTGTCCACTGGAAAACGGCTTTTCGCGTGCGGAACCGGAGCTTTTTCACCACAATGCACGTGGAGAGAGGTAATTAGAAATTATTAAATAATTTCGGTTTTTGAGTTCTAGGTTGGCTACTTATAACGTACATTCGAATTATTAATAATTATTCTTAAGTTTCTTGCTAATTCAGAGAGAAGTTTTAAAAAATGACACATGAACTTTACTATAGTTGTATGTCGTATATACTTATCAAATTATTCTTATATACATTCTACTTTGAAAATAATTGCATCGATTTTTAAACAAACGCATTTATACTTATACATACATTCTAATAAAACTTGAAGAGAATAAAAAATGTATGAACGCAGTAATTTAAATTTTCAACAGTCGGTCATTATAAAAATTGATAACGTTTATTTATGTAATTTTGAAACCGCCCTCGGCTGTCCGCCCGGATTGGATCTATGATGATTAGAGCTAGTTTATAATAGTATTATACTATTATTATTCCCATCTGAGAATGCATTTAGCCAATTATAATACATCAATGTCAACGAGCGCGGCGAAAGTGTGTCATCGTTTTTGGTTGAGGAGTGTGTATGGGGTGGGGGATCTTTTAATTTTTTATACACGGACTAATTGTACAACGTTTCTGTGTGCCAATAGATGGAAAATGCCAACAGCGTGACCGACACCGTACGTGGGGTGGGCAAGTGTCCGTACAGTCCGTTGTCTAACATCACAGCCATGATCACGCTCAACGGCCAGTACTTTGCCGGTAGCCCGATGGACTTTTCTGGTGCAGACTCGGCCATCGTTCGGGACTTAGGAGCTTCGTACTTGCGAACGAAGAACTACGATGCCAAATGGCTAAACGAGCCTCAGTTCGTTGGATCGTTCGAGACTGACGCCTATGTGTACTTTTTGTTCAGAGAAAGTGCGGTGGAGTACATAAATTGTGGCAAGGTACGTCTTTAGTTGTTGTGTATTAACTTGTGAAATAAACTGAAAACAGTTAGGTTCGGAAATGTAACTGTTTAGGAGGTATATACGTACGTATATCTTTATATGCTTATATCACTATTGATAAAAGTTTTTAATTTTATTATTTCGAAAATAATTACGAAATAGCGTTATAGTTTTCATTATACGCACAATATTTAACATTAAAATTATGTTACAGAGGGTGTACTCGAGAATTTCAAGAATGTGCAAAAACGACGTGGGTGGACAAACTATGCTTCGAGATAATTGGACCACGTTTATTAAGGCTCGTTTAAACTGTTCTTTACCCGGTGACTATCCATTTTATTTTGATGAAATACAAGGTATGACATATCTACCGGACGAAGGATTGGTGTACGCTACATTTACTACACCTAGGTAATATATTATTGTGATTTTTTTTTTTTTAATAGCTTGTCCGATTCCTGCAGGCAGAAATCTCTTTTCATAGGTTCTTTCTAATCTCATCATTCAGACAATTAATTTTAAAACGTATTTTAAACACGTGTACTCAAATACAAATTAACATTTATTTCTATTTAAAATAATATGTAAAAAAGCATTTATATCATAATGTAGAATATAACATTATTGTATTCAGACGATTATATAAAGCTTTTTTTACAACATTTTAAGTCTGTTTCTCATACATTCTAACATATAATATTCTATAGAGCGTATCTTCACGTGAGTGGTGACTGTAGCATTTTATTTTAAAATAAATTCAATCATCATATAATTTAGTTATTACTTTTTCAACTACCTACATCGAGGTGTTGTTATTATTAATATTACTATTACTATATTAGGTACTACATATTGACTAATGTGAGAACTTATATATATACCTAAATTAAAACGTGTAATGTTATTCTGTACAGCAATGGTATAGCTGGATCGGCAGTATGCAGTTTTAATCTTACCGCTATTAACGCAGCGTTTAACGGACCGTTCAAACACCAAGCCAGCGTTGGTTCGGAGTGGGTAAGATATAATCCACCACATCAACTCAACCACGGACACTGCCAAAGACAGGATCCAAATCAGATACTTGACTCGTCGAGGTATTTAATTTATTATCATTGTTATTATTAATAGTACTTACTTAATATAAGTACCTATTGTACTAGAGTTTCTGAGTTTATACGATGTATATATTATATCTTATAGTTTAAATACGGAATAATAAAATATAGAATATAACTCCGATGGTGGTCGAATTGTTTGTTTACCCGTTACTGTTATTATTATTTTTTTTTTTTTTATGTAAATTTGCTAATTCATATTAAATTATTCTTTTATTCTTTCAATTTTTTATATTCATTTTCTATGAACGTTAAATATTAAAAAACAATACTATACACTATTTTCATAAGTCTTAATTATATTGAAATCTAACTTAACGATATAGAAAACTTCAGAAACATGTATCATGTGAGTTATTTATGATCGAGTTGGGTGTCATATAAGGGTTATAATTGCATTTAACATTCGTCTAAACAAGTTTTATTTTTTAAATTATTGTTGTACCTACCTATCTATATATTAAGTTATATTTTATCGTAATAGATAACTGAGAATAAAAGCGGTTTTGGATGTGTTAAATATTATTAAATATAATTCACCTAAACTATGTATACATTTTTGATTTACGTTCATATTTTCTGTATATAATATATTATGCTTCGGACAAAGTTGTCTAGTATAGCAATAATAATAATATATCTGTCATTATTAGTGGATTAACCGTTTATGTTTTATACTCAAGTTCTATGTTTCATATCTTTATAGATACCAATTGATGGACAACGCAGTACAGCCCACCACAATGGACCCACTATATTATAAGCCATTAGAAATTCTAACTCACATTGCTGTCGACGTCGTACCGACCAAACCGCATGGATCTTTAAAAGTCTTATACGTGGCCACGACTGAAGGAACGGTGAAAAAGATTACTATTCTACCGAAGTCTTCGGTCACGTGCACACTGGAAGAATGGAAAATATTTCCTGAGGGTTCCGGTTCCCAAATCATGGCGTTGCATTATTTGAAAGTCACGGTACGTCGTAATAACTAATGTTTATTATATGCGGTCAATTACAAAATTATGTATTTATTCGGTATCCTGTATTTATTGGTCGCGCAGGATTCGATATACGTAGGCACTCGTGATCGGGTGTTGAAAATACCGGCCCAGCACTGTGGCCGGCACCGGAGCAAGGAAGCGTGCATGAACGCGATGGACCCCTATTGCGGTTGGAACGAGCATGTCGACAAGTGTCAACCACCGACAAACGGTAATATCATGGAACATAATTGGCGACAGGACGTTACCAAGTGTCCGGACCGGTCTAGGCCGATCGACGGTGGTTGGTCCAGCTGGTCGACATGGAGTGCGTGTACGCAAAACGTTAACGGCAAAGAGTCCACCGACCAATGCTTGTGTTCGAGCAGAACATGCACGAACCCCGAACCCAAGTACAACGGAGCTGATTGCCAAGGTCCTACCATACAGGTGTGACATGCAACCAGTTTATATTATATTACCTAGATGTACACTAATTAAACCGACTGTCGGACTGGCTATTAACTATTTATTTTTTTATCAAGATGCTTTACCCTTAACGACAATTGTCGTAAATAATTTTTATTGTCTGACTTCTATTATTTTCCGTTTTCCATAGATAATACGCATTAGTTCATTATAATAGTGTATTTTGATTTTTTTTCACATAAACAATATTCCTCTAAATTGGTTTTATATGCTAATATTTTAGTACAACGTGCAGTTATCATAAAGATACCAGTTCTTTATACTCTTTTTTAAACTCGAGTAAAAAATGTTACACACCCATGTAATGAGAAAAAACTTCTATTGAACATTTATTAGAGTAGGTATACATGTATATATGTGGTACGTGAATACCTACATTTATTTTAAGATCATATAGATAAATTAGTTGTACTACTGGGAAATTATAATATCCTACGCACCCATTTATTATATATAAATATATAATATATATTTATACACGTATTAACATGATTACACGTTAAATAACAACATCATTGACGCGCATAAATTAACTCTCGTTTTTTTTCTCTCTTAGGTGACTAATTGCACTGTACACGGACAATGGTCTAGTTGGTCCGACTGGTCAGCGTGTACGCAAAGTTGTGGTTCTGCTGTGAAAGTCAGAAAAAGGACTTGTGGAAATCCGGCGCCAGCGTTTGGCGGTCGCGTGTGTGTAGGGCGCGATACTGATGAAATGTTTTGCCATTCGAATCCACCTTGTCCAGGTATGGATAACTAGCAGTGTTCATCTCGATAACGTTCGACGCCATCGTTTGATATTTTTGTTATTAACTGTTATATTTTTTTTCCTAACCTATCACAGTTTCACCACCTGTCGTAAAAGAACCAGGTTGGAGTGCCTGGGGTACGTGGAGCAAATGCTCGGCTAAGTGTGGTGGAGGCATTCGGCAAAGGTCGCGGTACTGTAACAACCCGCCGCCACAGGAAGGACAGGATTGTATCGGGTGTTCCGAAGAGTACGAACTATGTAACCAGAAACCGTGCACGGATAGTATAAAAAAGATATCAGCTTGGACACCTTGGGTATCCGTAGGCAACGACACTCATAAAAGATACAGGTTCTCGTGTAGAACGCAGCCAGACATTTCGGGATTAAGCATTATGCAGGACAAAGAAGAAAGTAGATTGTGCCAAGATGGTTCGTGTCACAGACTTGGTGAGTTACCTATTACAATTACCTGTAATACTAAGTGCATTCTATCTATAATTGAGTTTATATTATGGTACCTATATTAAACGTTTAAACAATTAAACTTCTGGTACGAGCTTTAGTATTTTTTTAAATGATTTCAAAATGTTTATTTGTGTGCTTTTTTTATTAGATCAACCATCTGATTCAGAAGACTCGTGGTCAGAATGGTCATCGTGGTCCGCTTGTTCTGCTGATTGCGGTGGTGGTGTACAAATCAGGACTCGAACCTGTGAAGGTCCTTTAGATAATTGTGAGGGACAAAACACACACACCAGGCCTTGTAATACACATCAATGCAAAGGTAATTGAATATTTTTACCGGCAATATTTATGCCAATATTGTTACTACATATTTTATACTCTATTTCTATTTATGTGGCATTGTTATTTATAATAGTTAAATTATTCCTTAAATAGATAATAACTATAAACTTTCACTTTTTCATTGTAACTCTAAAATTTTATATTGATGCTTTAGGAGAATGGAGTTGTTGGACGGACTTTGGTGAATGTTCTGTGACTTGTGGTGAAGGCGTCAGAACTCGCACGCGAACTTGCATGATGAAGGGTATGTCTACCGAAGGATGCGAAGGGCCTTCTGAAAGCCAAGAACCGTGTTACATGCCTTGTCATGACATGGATATGGGCTGGGGAGACTGGTCAGAGTGGTCGGTTTGCGATAAGGAAAACCAAAAACATCGGACGCGAAAATGTACTTTTGACCATTGCTTCGGGCCCGACATTGAATCTATTCCTTGCTTTGAGAAAAACGAGATCGGTAAGCATAATATCGGCACTTAAAATAAATATGTACCAAATTGCTAAACAGTTGCAATAGAAAACCCGAGATGAATGCAGTTCTAGCACGGTGGTCGCGCAGGTACGGGCTGCTGGGCACTTCGGCTTCGGCGTATGCCGCGAAGCGCGGCGCCCCACCAGGGCGCCGGTCAGGAAGGACAGCAATTGGCACGAGTGTGGAGCCGCTGAACTCCTGCGTATGATGTACCAGAACGAACGGAAATAAAAGATGATACGATGGACCGTTTAATGGGTTGGCGGTGAATGGGGAGAGGGGTGCTGGCGGCCTGTTACGCAGGTTGTACGCGCGGTGGTGTACAAGCGCTGAACGCCCATTCCTCGCCAACTCTGCTTCGGTCATCGACCATTTCCGTTACCTGTCGTGCCAGCATCACCGCCTCTCAAGCCGCCTGCTAATCACTTCTGACCAGCGCCCTGACAACAGCGCCACGTTCTACGCGTGGCGCCTACCTGTAAGGCGTGTACGATCGCGCCGCGAGCTGCTGGCTCGTGCTCGTAATGCGACTGGTTGTTTCTCATCAGCAATTGCTCGGCCACCGCTGGGCTGAAAAGGCACTGTTGATCGCCCTATCTGCGTAATGCTCAATATGTCTGCTGTCGTATTCGTCATGCCCAGCAACGTTACTACGGCTGGTGATCGCGTGCCTACAACTTCGCCGTCGTCAACGGTGCCGCACGATTCTTGCGTCCTGGAGCCCGCGGCTGTTTCTGTTAAGCTTCCGTCATCATCGTGTGACCGGGCAAGTCGCCGTTCGGTATAGACCGGTCTACTCGTCATCATTTATTTTCAGTCTGAATATGACTATAACTCAGCCTGCTACTGCTGCTGCTGCCGTGTGCTGCCTCATTTAACGGCACGTGATGGCTCGGTAACATTCTGGCAATGCATATGTACATTTCTACGACACACACAACTCGTAAAAATCAACTTTCTGTTAATGACACCGACGATGCATGACACTACGTTGGCGACTGATTTTAAACCATGTGCCTATTTTCAATTTAAATAATCTTTTGTTTCGACCCATCATTCTGGTTTGCCAACATGATGCTCATGTCTGTATGGTACAAACTAACGCGTATTTATTATACTCTTTAAGTAAAATAAATTTGTTAAAAATGGCTAAATATCTTTAATGGCTCGGTAACCTGTTCCCCTGCACCAATATTAAATTACAAGTGGTAATAAACCACATATTTGATTAAATGATTTTTCTAATCGTTATATTGATATACTAACGCCATATAGTGACACTGTATTGTACATCTATACCTGCCAAATAGATAACGATTTACTAAATCCGTCTCAGGTTGCTTGCTCACTATAAACTCATTGTATTTTTCGAGCCAACAACACCGGCTACTGATATTTATGTTTGACACGCCGCTCGTAAACCACCAAGTAATACGAAATATGACGCAAGCGCCTTCATCGCTGAATAAACTTTTGTGCACCATGCGAACTGGCCATTGTCTTGATGGCTTTGTTAACCATAAACTATTATTGACACTGATATTTTTGTCGACCACTAATCATAAGCAAAACCAACGTATTAATACATAATATATTATTACCTATATATTAACATAAATATAATAGACCTTTCATGTTATAATTTGGCATGTTACATTTTCCTTGCAGCCTTGACCGGCCTACCACCTTCACATATTAAAATGTACCCTTTCTTGCTGTTATCTCGCACACGTTGTGTCAATACTCTTTTCATGAATAACCTTTTAACGAGAAATAGACGACAATGCTGCCTGCGCAAATTTTTAATTATTCTCATATTGGGCACCGAGAAATGTGATTACTATGATACCAGATAAAGCCGTACGAAACATTAAGAACTTTCTGGTAAAGTGAACCCATGTCTTACCTTCCAGGCCCCGAGATTTCTTCAACCAGTGTCGTCATTCCTGAATCATTAATGAACAGTCAATAAATCTGATATGTTCTGCTAAATGTATATCCTTCATTCTATTGATCACGTGGGGTAACAATATGTAGATCGGCGCTAT